AAGGCAACCGGATATCCGTGCTGAAGAGGGAATCCTTCCGCGGTTTGCCCAACTTGAAGGTCCTCTACTTGGGCGACAATGTGGTACCGTTATCGGGGTACTTGTTCGCGGATTTGAGAAACCTGACGTCGCTGAATTTGAATTCCAACAAGATCAATTCGATACCGAAGGACTCGTTCGCCGGGCTGTCAAACTTGGGAATTCTCTCCCTGGAACACAACGATATCGAAGCGATCGAGGCGGAATATTTCTCGAGTCTTAATCCCGGACGACTGATATTCCTTTGGCTTAGCAGCAATAACATCTCTCGCGTCGCGCCGGATTCCTTCGCCGGGTTAACCAAACTGAATTACCTCTACTTGGACTACAATCGGCTAGAGGATTTGCCGAGCGGTGCCTTTCGAGGATTGAACAAGCTGGAGTATCTTTACTTAAATAACAATCGGATAACAAGCGTCTCCAGGTCGCTCCTTCGCGACTTGGTCGGTCTGGAGAGACTCTATCTTCAGCAGAACGAGATCAGCGCTCTCGAGCCGGATACGTTCAGGGATCTGTCTCAGTTGAAACGACTGGACCTGAGGGAAAACAAACTGTCTCACATTGTAGTCGGCACTTTTGCTGGGCTCTCCAATCTGGAAGACATCGCGCTAGGGTCCTCGAAGTTATGCGAAGCCATTTCGAGGATCGATTGCCCAGGATTTTCTGGCTCAGCGCCTTGGAACTCTTGGAAATTCGAGAGAACTATAAGAACGTGTCGGCGCACTTGTGAATCAAGGCAACCGGATCTATGCTGAAGATGGAAAGTTTTAAACATTAATATTTTATAAACTGTTGCGCACTAGACAGCTAGAATTACTGTACTTTATATTAATGAATGGGGTGTACAGTAAAATATTAAAAATTTAAGAGGTCAAGGGTTGGTCCCCTTATTATGAATTTCTATGCGTGATAAAAAAAATTAATAAATTATTTAATCACAACTTCATGCGTTATTTTTATTCAATCTATTCGACGCATATCCGCCCGCGTCGTCACGTGTGCGCGGATCGATGGCTTGAAAAACAAAGAGAGAGAGAGAGAGAGAGGAGAGAAAGAGTAAAAACTCCGGGAAAACGTGTCTCCGGTGTCTTATTCTCATGGACGCGAATGCGCTCGTGTTTTCGCGTGTACAATGATTTGCATAACATGTAATTTCCCGTTGTGAAGTCAAGGTCGGGTCAGGGTCGTCCCGTTTACTTCGCATTTTGTATCTTAAAAAATTTGTAAGATTTTGCGCGCGCGCGCGCGGCGCGCAGAAGGGTTGGCATTCCTGGCGTCGTGGAGCGTCATCCGAGTGATTACGCTTGTCACTTCGGTCACTCGTGTGTTCGCTCTACGATGTGTTTACATTTGTAACGCACGAGACGCTGCTATGTTGTGAGGAGGGAGAAGCGTCGATTCCTCGGCAGGATGAAGCGCACGGTAATACCGAAGCTACGTTCCTTTCAGTGCGACACTCGGCGACGCGTCGCGCTCTTCCCCCTTCGACTCGTGACAAATTTTTTTAGGTTATTCTAGGTTAATTTGTCCACGCTGAGCAATATTTACATCCGCGATCGCGTCGACGCTGCTCGCGCGCCGAAATGATTGACGCTCCGACGAGGCAGCGTCCGATCGTGCACGTTAATAAAATTGGCGAATCACCGCGCGAGCGTTTCGTTTTAATTCATATTTTCTCGGTCTTCAGGTGTCCGAGGAGAACAGCGAGAGCAAACGGACTTTCGTCAAGCATGAGTCCATCAACTTCGGATACGATGCGGCAGCCTCGTACGCCAATTACTCGCAGTCGTCCACACCTTCCACCATCGCTCAGCCCTTACCCGGGCAGCCACCCTTGCCTCCCATGCCTCCGCCGCCCAGCGGAGTCCCACCTCCGCCACACGTATTCGGACCAGTGCCTTCCCAAGTAACTCCCATTCAAGCGTGGGCGCATCCACCGTGGCAGTGGATAGCGTCGCAGCCGTCTCTGCCACCTCCAACTCCGCGCGAGATTACCAATACAATTCAGAGAGAGATGCCGCTAAGGGGTAACTACGTACGTCACGAGAGGTTCGCTCACAACAGAAGCAACATGTATGTCCAGAGAAATAATTTTCATCGTAGAAACAAAAGGCCCATGCGTTTCGGGCAGTCGCAGGGCCAGTTCGATCAGAATACGTACTTTGGGGCGGCGTTGACGGGTAGTCTCGGGTTGGAGTGGCAAAGAAATAATTATACCGCGGCGGCGAACGACGGTATAATAAACCACATGACTGTTCCTCTTTCTTCCCATTCCGTACCTTCCATTCCGTCGGGAATCGTGAGCAATAGGCATGGCGAGGAAACGGAAGATCAGGATGTGAAAATTGTACTATAGTGAACATATTTCAAACAGTTTTCGTACGGACGTTTGTCATACGGACAGCTAACGCGATTGAATTTTTCCAGGAAAAGGTAGTAAAGAAGAACAAACAGAGGAAGCCGATGTCGCAGAGCTATCCTAGTAAGCCGTGGAATAGGGAGGATGCGGAGAGAGCTCTGATGACCGAAAACGAATACAATATGAAGAACAAAGTTAATGCGCAGAGCTTAATAATTAAGTTTCCCGATCCGGATCTAAACAAGGACATTGTTAGACTGTTTCACCCCGGTATACGGAATATACACTTTCAAAATCCGAGCGGTCCGAGATACTGCTTCATTCAGATGGCGAAGAGCGTGAATATTGACGAAGCTATAAAAGAGCTGGAGAAGGTTAAATTTGGTACGGGATACCTGAAAGTCGAGAAGAAAGCGGTGAGAAACGAGGATGTCCGAAACGCGAAGCCCGAGGACATAAATCCTTACAATTTGTACATAGGAAATTTGCCTACATTTGTTAAGGCAAACGAGATAAAAAGCAAATTTCCAAAGGCACGAGTGGACGTATCGAGAGCACGGAAGTTAAAGAACACGCAGTGAGTTGTAGATACCTTAAATATTTATATATCTTTGACTATATTGTGCTTATTTTATCTTTACATTTTGTTGTAGATTTGCTTTTATGAGATATAATAGTGTGGATGACGCGATAGCGGATTACAAAAAGGCGTACGGTTTAATGTGGGACACGAGGAGTATCATTGTTAAATTTAGACGAAAGGAAGGTAACGCTTATCTTCCCGAGATAGTTAAGCCTGACGTTAAAAAAGTTAAAGACGAACCAAGTAACGTTGCACAACTGGTGAAGGAACAGAATTCGAATCACGTTGAATTTAAGCCTAATGTTAACGAGTCGAAGGAAGAGGATAACGCTGGTCAAACGAAGGAGAATAAAGCCAACCACGCGGATAAATCGTCAACGAGTCAGGTTGTGGAGAGCGTGGAAATGCGATTACAAGATAATTCCGGTAAAGCGCAAAATAAATTGGCGTCGCAAGTTCAGGAAAATGCGAACTCTCATTCCTCTTTGTTGCCAACCTCAATCACGTCAGACAAGACAATGCAAGAGCAACAACGAGAACCCTGGGTAACATATATAAAGTCAATATTGTTAAGCTGCATAATGTTGCGTTGCAATTGTATGCAAATAATCAATTCTTACATTACCTGTCGGAAAAACAATTTATATTCGTTGATGGAACGGGCATTATAAAACCGTGTAATGTTTCGCGCGATTTATATATCACGATCGTCTTGAAGAGCTAATAATGCTTCTATTTGTCATATGCATGTATATGTCACAGTCTTCTCAAGTACCTTCAACATCGGAAAATCCATCATCGTGTCCGCAGGCTGATGTCGAGGAAATGGTGATGCTCACGCAAATCAAAACGGAGCCTATAGATTACGATGACGAGGATGAAGATGATGATGATGACGACGATGATGACGATGACGATGACGATGACGACGATGTTGAGGAGCCGGACGATACTGACGACGACGAGGATAATAACGAGGAAGATTTCGAAGAGGACGATGAAGATGAAGTTGATAATGGACATATAGCGTTTGCGGCGAGACCGTCGAAAGCAGTACAAGATAAAGAAGAACCAACGGATGTAAGTACAACGCACGATTAATTGTTGATTACACCTTATATCTACTTAAAGTCCTTTTTAACTTTACTAAGGACACAAAATATCTCGTATCTTATTTCAGCACCTTGACCAGATGTTCAGCGATTTGGAGAATATGACGAGCGATATTGGTTTCTTGAAAAACGCTTGAATTTTACTATTTGGACACGCACCATCACACTCGAATCCGAGGTTCTTTTCATGAAATGTAATTTCACATATAATGTGTATAAATCAGTAACTGCGTAATATATACGAATAAGACTGCATGTGTTTAAATACAGTAGCGTAAGCGATTTTAAAGCCGTATTTAAGCGTTTTGTAATTTTTTTTTTTTCAAAGAATTTCAAACACCATGCTTGAGTGCATGATTATGTAAGTTCTATTGTATCATTAAAGTTATTATTTTATGTATCCATCGTGGTCAATTAATCTGTGTATGTATCGTTTAATCCTTTTTTTTTTTACACAAAGAAAGTCAGGGAGAGCCAGTAGTACACGAGAAACCGCCTCGACTCTCACTCACAATTACAAATTGATGTCAATTATAATTAAAAAATTGCGAGCTTGCTACATATTGTAAAAATAAAACAATATATAATAATAATTCTATAAGCTACAATTCTCTTTACGTTGAAGTCTCTCTTTACAGTGTCACCTCTGCGATTTTTATTCGCGCGTTTGAACTTCAAACGACGCGATGCGTTCGCGTCCGCGTCGTCACGTGCGCCCAACGCGTGCGGATCGATATCGATAGTTTGAAAAAAAAAAAAAAAAAAAGCGCGAAAAAGAAAGCGGGAATGTTCGGCATCTCGCGTATGCAAACGATGCGCTCGCAAATTGCGTGACGCGACGATGAATTGCGTAATTGCGTAATAACGCAATTTCGCCTCGTCACCTCGTCGGGATCGGGTCAGGGTCGTTTCTGTTTACCTCTCCCGCGAAAGATCGTCGCATGCGGCGCGCGCGCGGAAGGGGATTGGCACCCCTGGCGCCACCTCGTCGCGGCTACGCTTGTGTCACACATGCTCGCGCTACGATGTTGTTTACGTTGTAACTCAGGAAATGCTGCTACCCTGTAAGGCGAGTCACGTTCAGCCTGGCAGCATGAAGCGCGCGGTAATGCCCGAGTTTACGTCCTCCTACGTCGTTTCTCCGTCGTGCGACAGTCGGTGGACGCGTAGTGGCCCCTCTCGTTTCGCTCTCGCGCGCGTTTCCCAATCTTCTAGGTTATTCTAGGTTAATTTGTCTAATGCCAAAACAATGTTTACACACGCGTCAATGTTTACATCGACGTCGCTCGAAATGCTCGCTCCCTCCGACGAGGCAGCGGCCGATCCGTGCGCGTCGATAAAATTCACCGAGTCACCGGCGTGCCCGCTCCGTTTTAATTCATCCTTTCTTGATCCCCAGGTGCCCGAGGAAAACAGCGAGAGCAAACGGAACTATTTTAAACAGGAGTCCATCAGCTTCGGATACGATGCCTCCTCGTACGCCAATTACTCGTCGTCGTCCACACCCTCCACCATCGCTCAGCCCTTACCCGGGCAGCCACCCTTGCCTCCTATGCCTCCGCCGAGCGGAGTCCCACCTCCGCCGCACGTATTCGGACCAGTGCCTTCCCAAGTGGCTCCCATTCAATGGACCCACGCGCACACCCCCTGGCAGTGGATAGCGCCGCAAACGTCCCCCTTGCCGCATCCGACTCCGCACGATATCGCTAATACGATTCAGAGGGAGATTCCGCTCAGGGGTAACTACGTACGTCGCGAGAGATTTCACAATAGGAACAATATGTATGTTCAGAGAAATAATTTTCGTAAAAATAGAAGGGTGGTGCGGTTCGGACAGCCGCAGGGTCAGTTTGATCAGGCTGCATATTTCGGGGCGACGCTGGCGGGTAATCTCGGATTGGACTGGCGAAGGAATAATTATCCCGCGGCGACCAATGACGCTATAATGAATCACATGACCGTTCCTCTACCTAATCATCCCATCCCTTCCATCCCACCGGGAATCGTGAGCAACAGACGTACCGAGGAGACGGAGGATCAGGATGTGAAAATTGTACGAAAATATTTCAAGCGGTATATGTGTTTCGTTGCGAGGATGGCTAATACGATTGAATTTTTCCAGGAAAAGGTGGTGAAGAAGAATAAACAGAGGAAGCCGATGTCTCAAAATTATGTCAACAAGCCGTGGAATAGGGAAGATGCGGAAAGGGCTCTGAAAATTGAAAGCGAATATAACATGAAGAACAAAGTTAATGCGCAGAGCTTAATAATCAAGTTTCCCGATACGGATCTAAACAAGGACATTGTTGGCCAGTTTCATCCTGAGATACTAAACATACATTTTCAAAATCCGTGTGGGCCGAGATATTGCTTCATTCAAATGGCGGAAGACGTGAATATTGACGAGGCGATAAAAGAATTGGAGAAAATCAAGTTTGGTGTCGGGCACTTGAAAGTCGAGAAAAAGTCATTAAGAGACGAGGATAATCCCGAGGAGATAGATCCCTATACCTTGTTTATAGGAAATCTGCCAGAATCTGTTAAAACGAGCGACATAAAAAGTAAATTTCCAAAGGCGCAAGACGAAGAAACGCGAAAGATGAAGAACACACGGTGAGTTATATAGATATCTTATTAACTTGTTTTATTTGCTATGCTAAATCTAGCGGAATTATTAAGTTTTTTTTTGCAATTTTATCCTTATAATATTATTCCTACATTTTGTTGCAGAAATATTCTTATGAGATACAATAGCGTGGACGATGCGATATCAGATTACAAACAAGCGTACGGTTTAATGTGGGACAAGAGGAGTATTAACGTTAGATTTAGACGGAAGAGAGGTAACACTTGTCTTTCCGAAGAACCTAAGCTTGACGTTAAGAAAGTTAAGGAGGAGCCAAGTAACGCTGCACAAGTGGAGAAGGAACGGAATGCGAATCACGTTGAATTTGAGCTCAATGTTAACGAGTTGAAAGAAGAAGAAAGTAACACTGACGAAACGAAGGAAGACAAGATCAATCGCGCGAATAAGTCGTCGGCAAATCAAAATGTGGATAGCGCAGAAGCGCGATTGCAAGATAATTCCAATAAAGCACAAAGAAAACCAGCCTCGCAAGTTCAGGAAAACACAAACTCTCATTTGCCTGGATTATCGACGCAAGAAGAACAACCTTGGGTAATACATATAAAATCAATATCGTTATGTTGTGTATTGTAGTATCGCACAATTGTGGAAAAACGCTTGGAAAAACTACTTAACATATTTCGTTATGCTTGATCTTTAAGATCAGGCAAAATGATACTACATAGTGTTTTGCGTGTTTAATATATATTACAATCATTTCAAAGAGATTAATAATGCTTTTATTTTCCTATGTAGACGTCACAGTCTCTTCAAATATCTTCGGCGTCGAAAGTTAACCCACCATGTCCAACCGAGGCGAACACCGTCGAGGAAATGGTGATGCTTACGGAGATCAAACAGGAACCCATAGATTACGATGAGATGTTCAAGATGAAGCACAATGACAGTGATACCGACGATGATGACGATGACGACGATGACGATGACGATGATGACGACGACGACGATGATGACGATGACGATAATGTCGAGGAGCCGGATGATTCTGATGATGATGAGGATATCAATGCGGGAGACTTCGACGATGAAGATGAAGATATCGACGATGATGGAAATATATCGTTTAGGGCTAAGCCGCCGAGAACAACGCGAAATGACGAGGAACCGTCAGACGTAAGTGTAGCGCATTATTAATTGCATATTTTAAAATCTCGATAATATTTTGTATACAACATTGACATTCGACTTCTTGTTCCAGCACCTCGATAAAATGTTCAGCGAATTGGAGAACATGACAGGCGACATCGGTTTCTTAAAACATTGAATGAAGCATCGTCTTAATACTCGCCGACAGTTCTTTTTATGAGATTTGATTCCGTATATAACGTGTAAATATCACAGTAGCTGCGTAATATAAACAAATGAGACTGCATGTATTTAGATATAGTAGCGTAAGCGATTATAGCCGTATTTAAGAATTTTGTAACTATTATTTCTTCCGATGAATTTCAATGAATATCAGGCTTAAGCGAAGCATTATATAAGCTCTATTATATCATTAAAGTTATTATTTTACGTATATTCTTTCGTGATAAATCTGTTCACCCAGTTCACCGTTCGTGCGTCTTTCTATTCGATAGTTCTTTTTAACAAAGAAAATTACAGTGAATAAGCTGTAACTCGAAAAACCGCGATCAGTACATCTTTTATCAACAAATCCACGTGTCAATTATAATTGAATGACTGCAAATCTGGTACATTGCGGAAATATATAACACAGTTAATGCTTTAACGAATAATAACAATTCGTTTCGTATGCATAATCGTCAGTTGAATAATTGTCTTTTTTTTTAAATATAAATTATATACGTTTCATGTGTCGCACATCTCGGAATATTTGAATACCGGATACATTAGAGGTCACTATTTCCAATCTCTAACCGACGGTCAACTTTTCGGTCAGAATAGCGAATAGAAATTGGCTATTTTGAAAATTAACTGTCGTGAGTTGCTATTTCCAAAACGTTTGTTAATCTTTAATTTACGGTTAATTTTCGAAATAGTCAATTTCTATTCGCACTATTCTGAAAAGTTTTAAACTTTCAAAGAAGAGATACTTTTCGAGTTTCGAGAAACTCGAGGATGCCATCTACTTCCGGCCTACCATTACGAGCGCGCGACAGAAGCGCGGGTAAACCCATCCTCCACTCCACTTTCTAAAAGGGCAGCGAGGTGAGCGAGGAACAAACTTGTTGCTCCGGACGAATTTTCACCGCTTGCGGCTTGCGGCACGTTGAGTTTTGCTTACTTGAGCACGTTAAATTTGTCAGCGCGTGAGCAGCAGCGGCACGATGTTCGAGGCACGCCTGACCCAGAGCGCGATCCTGAAGAAGGTGCTGGACGCGGTGAAGGACCTCCTGACCGAGGCGACTTTCGAATGCTCGGACTCGGGGATTCAGGTCCAGGCGATGGACAACGCGCACGTTTCCCTCGTCTCGTTGAATCTCAGGAGCGACGGCTTCGACAAGTACCGTTGCGATCGCAATCTGTCGATGGGAATGAGCATCAATTGGTGAGACATGGTTAATTTGAAGGTTATGCGCCGGGCGGCTATCCCTTCGAACAAAGGGACGGTGATGTGTTTTTTTTGGTTGCGGTATATTCCTTTTCCTTCACGCTTTTCGCTCCGCGAAATGCAAACAAACACGCGAGCGCTTTATGAGATTTAAAGTCGAAGAGGAGAAGGGGGGATTTTAGAGACACGTCAAAAAGAGCAGGTCTAGAGCCGGTGGATTGCGATAATTAATGCCTGACACGATGGTAATCGATCATGAAACGCTTTCAGCATGTCGAAGATACTGCGATGCGCCGGTGCGGACGACACGGTGACCCTCAGGGCGTGGGACAATCCTGAATCTGTCGTCTTTATATTCGAGTCGCCGAACAAGGACAAGCTAGCCGAGTACGAGATGAAGCTGATTAATATGGATCAGGAGCATCTGGGCATACCCGTGAGTTACTTGCGTATAAAATTAACGAGGCGATATTAAGATTGTTCTCATAAAACCAATTGCTTTACAGGAAACGTCGTACTCGTGCGTCGTGAAAATGCCGACTGCAGAATTTACCCGCATATGTAGGGACTTGAGCCAGTTTGGAGAATCCATAACTTTCGCGTGTACCAAGGAAGGTATAAAATTCAGCGCGTCCGGCGATTACGGTTCAGGTAAATTAACTACATGTATTCTCGAGACAAATTAATAATACGTATAATTTGTTCTCTTTACTCACGTTGAAGTAAAATAAAATTGTTATTTGCACCAATGCTATTTTCTTGAATGCTGTTCCGCGTCCGTCCAGCAGTAGATTGAGACTGACTTGCAGGGTTACGGTCCTCGAGAGCCTTAACTGAAACTATGTTTAAATTCTTGTTTTTCTAATCTCGTCAGCAAAGGTCATGTTATTTGTACATTCTTCCTTGTTTACATTTTCACTTTCACTAGATATACTTACCATCAGGAGATATTTGACGCTAAATAAAATTGTATAGAACAAGCTTGGTAGATGCATTTACACATATTTAATCAAAGCAAGAGTTGAAAACGCTATGATGTTCATAAATGTTACACAGAATATATTCAAGATTAAAGAAAGTGATCATTTACACAGGGACATTCTGTATATATACATGTCATGTAAGTGGCTTACATGCTGCCTCTGTTTCTTTGCAGCCAACATCAAATTGGCACAGACTGCGGATGCGGATAAAGAAGAGGAAGCGGTAATAGTTAATATGCAGGAACCAGTAAAGTTAACGTTTTCTTGTCGTTATCTGAATTGCTTTGTGAAGGCTGGTCCTCTTTGCAACCAAGTTACACTGTCCATGTCCGACGATGTGCCTTTAGTATGTGAATACAAAATCGGCGATATTGGACACATTAGGTATTACCTGGCACCCAAAATCGACGACGAGGATGAAAACTAAGAAAAACGACGATAGAAATAGAACTCGTATATATTGAACTGTCATTAACGATATTGCATCACGTTACTGATTGTTTTTTGAAAAATTTTGTCCTATTAGCGTTCGATATGTTTATTTCAATAGAAAACGATTAATTGGTTTGACATAATTTCAAGGAGATGATACCATACATATTTGCTGATCGAGAAAACTAAATACTCCGTTATTCGATATTGAGGTACAAGTAAGGCAAAGCTAAAGGTACTTTTAAGGTAATATATTATTGTAATTTTACATTTAAAAGTTATTTGGCTTTCGTCACAGTGCTAGCGCAATGCAGAATTGACACTAAAATTTATAGTAGAGTGACACAATGATTAGCAGGTATAGCAAAATGGTGTCATCCTCTTAATCAATATTCACATTATTAACGTTCCGGAGACTGTGACAGTATTTTGATAATATCGCATTTTCTTTTTTTTATATGTAAGAAGAACTCAATATATTTTCAAAAAATTTGATAAATTTTGAATGTTATACGTTATTCTTATACCCTAGCCTAGATCGAAATTTCAAGTTTTGCTTAATGCAATCTTACTTCGTATATGTTTGTGTGTATACGCTACTTTAATATAAAAATACATAATTAACTTACGAGCTGAGGGAATAAGAGGGCTATCATGGATGGAATAGCCTAGAAGTAGTATACAGTTAAATCTTACATAATTTGGATTTATCCTATAATTACTCTAAATAATGAAGTTAATAATTAATCATTAAATATTGATTTATACTATAGAATTATTTTACACGCAAGCACTCCTCGTCAGATCTCTATAAATAGTAAAATCATTCATCATTTGTCCTCTTCGTCTTTAAACAAAAATCTTGTTAAACAAGTAACTTTTTTTAATATATATACGTGCGCTACATTAGGAAAAAAAGAAGTTTTAAAACATTCAAATGAGACGTTTTGGCAATATTAATCAGCCTCTTTGGTATTAAGACCCTGATATTGCTTTCTTGTTTCAACTCAATCGAAAGTTATTTAATGAGAGAGAGGAGTTCTATTGTTTTATACATTATTGAAAAGAAGATTATTATATAAAGAATGCGACAATACTACTCTTTAGAAAAAATAGTTTGTATAGATTTCTCTCCAATATGCGTTGTGAATTTTTAAAATGCGCTCAGTTATGCTTTCTCTCGGTGGAGATTCACACAGATCTTGACTCGGTTAGTTCGTCATGTCGTGCTCCGATTTGGCATCCTTTTTATACGTTATAGATACGCGTTCAGTCTACGTAGTCAATATTGAATATACATAAGATACTGTATGGTCTCTCCACGACTGAAACGCTATGCAAAACAATATATACATATACATATATATTGTTGCGTCAGAAAGAAATGTGAAAGGTCTTTAAGCGTTCGTGCTACCGTTACTCCCGTATAAGCTAGGGTGTACGTATTTGTCATGCAGTGTCCTTAAATGCCTCAGTAAGTTGCTCTTTACGTTGAAGCCTTTTTTACAGTAGGAGCAAAGGAAAGGCTTTTCGCCCGTATGCGTTCTTTGGTGGATGACCATCGAGGCGTGACTCGGGAATTCCTTTTGACATATGTTGCATAACTTTTGGTGATTGTGAACCCTTTTCGGCTTGGGGGGCGCCGAATTGTTCATCAAGGCCAACTGCTCCTCCGTGTGCTCCGTCTGTATGTGACGCACCCATTCCTGCGGCGTGGAATACATGTTGCCGCATAGATCGCACTTGAGAGGCGGGAAATCCTTGCTGTCGTCGCTCATATCGTCCTGAAACCGCCGAGTTTTTTTATTTATTTATTTTTTATTTCACGATCTCTCATCGTGTGCATATGCGCCATAAAGAATTCGCGACACAGTACCTTTCGTTTCTTTCTCCGATTTTCAGTCATGTCAGCATGCGTGAATTCTATATGCCTCACCCAGTCCGACGGTCTGTTAAACGTTTGACTGCACATGTCGCACGTCAGCGGTGTATATTCCTCCTCCTCCATGTCTCCGTCCTCGTCCGCGCTATGTACGATCTCCTGCGATGAGAATAAGGAAAACGTTATAGTTTTTTGCTGTATTAAAAGAAACAACTACCGTCCGTAGTAACTTTTTATTTTACGCACCGGTTTGATATCGATCTCATGGTCTATCGTAAGCGATTCCGACGGATCGATTGACTCTTCCCAATCGATCGGCTCGTCCTTCACCAACAGTTCCAGATTTAGTTCGGTCTAAAAGGGAGGAAGAACATTTTAGACTTTACGTCGTTGAACGAGTGCCTTTTTTTTAAATTCCATTATTACTAAACCTAAAGAAAAAACACTAGCTTACGTTTTCGCCTTCGCTCTTCGACTTGTTCGACTCGACGTCGCTGCTAACGGCTTTCTTCTTTTTGCCATTTGTCTCAAGATTCTCCTTGTTCTTGCTCTGCTCGTTACTTTTCTCCTCCGCGACCTTTTTGGTCTCGGATTCGTTGGCCTTGTCCTCGATCTTCTCGGTGCTCTTCCTCTCGACCGACTTCGCCGTCTGTATATTATTTTGGCAGGCCGCGGCCGCCTGTTGCACGTTCTCGATTACCTTCTCGGCGGTCGGTTGTACCAGTTTGATCTTCTGTATCTGCCCGGCCAGCTGCGACGTTTCCCGCTTGTCGCGCTCGATCTTCTGATTGTTCGACTGTATGTTCTCTTTCTTGCTGCTGCCGGTATTCGATCTCCACAGTCCACGCACACGTAGGATGTCGCCGGCCTTCAGGACTCCCTCCAGCTGATCGTTCGTCACAGTGGCCTCGCCGCTGTACATGTACTGTATCAGGATTTTTAGCGTGCGGTATCCGATCTCCGTGGGCAATACCTAAAAGCATAAAATAACATTATCGGATCGTCTCTGTATCACGCTGTTTCGAATTGGCCGTCTATTTTTGATAGAACAGGCGAAAGGAACGTTAACGCAACGAGGATCTGGAGGTTTGATTACCGACCACGATTATCGGTGCATTGGTGTTCGCGCCGAAATGGCACGTCTGGAAAATGTGACTGAGATAGGACGAGCAGGCCGCGAGGACGAATCGATGGGCCGCCACGTGCCGTCCGCAGGACGTGGCCAGCAGAACGTCCGCGAAGGATTCCGAGTGGAGCAGAGTCGCGACGGAGCTGTGCAGATGCGCCCCGTAGCTGTGCCACTTGAGCTGGTAATTCTCCGAGGCGGCGATGGCCATCTTTTCTGTATCGGACAAAAGCGATGTCGGATTATTATTGGACGTAAAATTCAAAGACATTGTTGTCATACCGCGCGCTCTGCGATAAAAAATAAACAGTTTCTCGGTTTAATTTATTTAAACATTAGCGATCGCGAACGGAGGATCCCGGATGACGTCTAGAGAATTTTGCATAGTGTTCGTGGAATTTCAACGCGTCTCTGTTACAACGAGCCTGTTGCGCGGTAAAACGACAGATAACAATTAAATTGTACAGTTCGCGGCACCGAATTTCCTTCGATCGGCTTCAGCGTCTTGCGCATTTTTATCTGTATCGATCTATCATCGCGATTGCGGACAGTCATCCGCAAAGGCGGCCGAGAGAAGCTATAGAAATCGCCCCCCCCTTCCCCCCCCCCCCCCCCTCGCAATGATCTCGCCTCGCGATCTAGCGAATTCCTCCTTCTCTCAACTTTATCCTTCACCGCGATCGTATCAATCGTCAGCGTCGCTACTCCAAGGAGAACAAAGCCGTTAATTGCAAATCGTTGCAGATCGATCGGGGGAGAGACAACACGGCGAGCGCTTATCCCGATATACGATATTTTTCGAGCTCGCGGGATCGCGTTAGTCCGCCCGCACGCGAGGTCGAGACGTCAAGTGTGTTTCCTTGGTCACGTTTGCGGCCACGATCCAATTTGCTCCGATCGCTGCTTCGCCGTCGCCGTCGCCGCCCGTATACAAGATCAATGCAGGCCGATAAGTCGCGCAACGTGATAACTCGCGCGGCCGCGTATCACTCTTTCTCTTTCTCTCTCTCTGTTGCGGCCGCAATTTTCCTTCGTATCCCGCCGCGCGAGTTCAATCGAACTCGCAAATTCAATCGGGACGCACGAGGCGAGGCTCCAGGTCGTCCGTCTCCTTTGCCGCGGTAAACGATGTTTACTCGACACCCTCTTTCCGTCGACGTCGGGGATGCGCGTGCCGTTTAGGTCGGATACGCGATCACCCCGGGATCACACTTGGCCGTGTCGATACACCAAAAAACCGCATCTATTACGACCGCTCGTACATGACGTGTAGCTCGTGAATCATCTACGGGGAAGAGAATGCGTCGAGCACCCTCGCAATCGCTCCCTCTCTCTCTCTTCCTCTCTCCCTCTGTCTCTCCGTCTCACTCTCTCCGGCTAGACGTCGTCTTCGCCGCCGCCGCGATTTACCTGAGAACATCGGCGCACCGGATTAATGATTCGAGGATCCACTCCTGAACGGCGTACTCGAATCGCGCGACTTTACGCGACGATAAATCCGAAACTTATATATCGGGGGAACAACGAGGACAACGGCAACGTCGACGGGGACGAGGTGCTGCGTGCACGAGCGCGGCGTAGCTCGCGCGCGTCGTCGGTGTTTTGAAAGGCGCTTGGCGCGGACAGGGACAAGGGGCACGGGGCAGATACGAGCATCGAACGAACCGCCGCGTAGGGGCCTAAAAATCGATATTTCGGTCTTTGCTCCATCCTCTCCGCGCGCCGTGCGGCGCGGCGCGGCGCGCCGCGGCTCGCCTCGCCGGCTTTCGCCGGCTAGAGGAGGTAGGGTATGCCCCCCTGCGTTCATCATCGATTTTCCCGGCTACCAATCGCACGCATCCATTTATCGCATCGATCGCCCGAGCTGATTTCAGCGTTTGCGTCCGTCCGTCCATCCGCCCGCCTCGCTCCACGACGATTCATACACCCTCCCGACGAATCCCCTCCGCCTCTCTCTCTCTCTCTGCCCGTGCGACCTCCCTTCCTATCGTCCTCACACCGTCGGTACCCTTCTTCCCGCGACCCCTATCCCCTCGTCGCGTCGAGACGAGAGACCCTCGCCGCCATCGCCGCCGCTGCCGTCACCGTCGCCGTTTCGGCTGTACCTTCGATTATAGATACGACTCGACTCGAGGAGATTCTCCTCGAGGGTCGCGTCCCGAGAGGGAGGCTGGAACCTCGATGGACGCGTCCGCCGACTTCTTCACGCCTGTTGATATCCTACGCCGCGCCGGGTCCGTCCGTGGCGTTCTCTCCCGCGAGAGAGAAAGAAAGAGAGAGAGAAAGCTGAGCTTTTCTCCTGAGGCGCATGTAGAATATATACCCCGAGCAGCGGCGTACGTCACTCCGATTTGTTGCAGGCTTATCGATTACCTGCCGCTCGATGATCTACCCCGTCCAGACGAGGGATCACGTCCTCCTCCTACTCCTCCCGCTCGCGCGAGTTCGCGGTATATGTGGTATACCTACAGACGTGTGGGACGTCTAGAAAATTTCGTAAACTTCAGCGAAACTCGTCGCTCGACATAACGATCGCCGATGTCCCTCGTCTCTCGTTTCGAGCCGGTCGCGGCCTTGGCTTTTTCAAGTAGCGCGGCTGACGCTGGGCCTATGATCAATATGTAAATTTAATAAATTGTACGAAACGGTAGATATTAAAAGGCGTTATAAATTGCGAGATTAATACGATCGGTACGCCGACGTGTGTCTAAATAATCGAAGGATATGCGGCTCTCGCGTCGATCTGCAAGCTGAATCCCAGCATCCGTTATCGAATTGATAAACAAAATGTTTTGTCAATGTAATAGATATATATGCAATGATAATACCTCTTATGACGCGCGTATCTGAGTACGACGGAATCGCTATACATATTCCCGTGCCATCAATGCACCCGTGTCGCACGAGGAATCGACGCGATGCGTCACACCGAGGGGATCTATAGATCGGCCCGGGGCTTCGTCGTCGTCCGCGGTCCGCCTCCCGCCTCCAGTCCGCCTGGCAAAAATCCTATACAATCGAGATACCGCGTCGGGGGTCGGGCTCGTGCCCGAAGATGGCGCCGGTGGTGGGATTGTTCGATTTTCAGGATTTCCCTCGGTGTTCCTACACCTCCTCGTGCGTGTGTCACGTGTGTGTGTGTATATGTGCGGTGCGCGGCACGACGTGCCGCATTGCGTCGACGACCCATTTTGCAACGGGGGCGATAAGTCGCGCGCTCGCCGCCCTCCCCCCAGCACCGTATTAAATAATCAATCTCGTGCGACGCCCGCTGATCGAAGGGCACCCTCGAAAATGCTTCTCCTTTCCTTCCTTCTCACTCTTTTTTCTTTTGTTTACCTGCCGGTGCCGCCGCGTCCGCCGTCTCGAGTCGCCCCTGCATCCGTCGATCGCCCCCCTCGCTTTTTCTTTCAATCGAGCTGCGGGGGCTTTGCATTTTTGCAATCTTCGATCTCCCGGTCGCCGAGGAACGTGCCAGAACGTGCGAAGGTGCCGCGAAGGAAGGAACAAGAAACGAGTCGGGGGTTTGCGACGGGGGCCACGGGGGGACGGAAGTTCCGATGATCGATGATCGACCCGCGCCCCGCGCGAAAGGGTCGCGAACGTTTGAATCGCGATCGCTCGGGTCGGCCGTCGGGTCACGTGGTGCCGAGTCACGTGGCGCTTTCGCGCGAGCCGCTTGGGGGCGCTGCGCGCGAGTGTTTCGCAGTTTCGCGAGCGACGGCGAGAGCGAGCGAGCAGCGAGCACGTCACGTCGTACGCGCGGCGTACTTCACGGCGGTGTGCGGTGTGCGTGCGTGTCTTCGATAAATAATGCGCGTTACCGTCGTCGTCCGTGGGCACATCGCGACGACCGCTACGGGGACGACGACGACGACGACGGGGACGATGACGGTTGCTTGAAGGAGGGGAAACGCCGACGGCGCTGGGGAAACCCCGGGTGGCGCGTTGTCCGACGGTGCTTCGCGTATACGTAGCCCCTCGCGAGTGGCCTCGTTGACCCAATTCCGACGAGCGAGGGCCTTTCCTTCGCGTCCGCGACCCTCTCGGCGATTTTTTGTTTCTTCGGACACTTCGGAGTCGGTGGCCTCCCCCCTCCTCCTGCCCCTCAAGACGGACGACGACGATGACGTCGACGTCGCGCTGGTAGCCCAAGTTTTACACCAAACTCGCCAGGCCAGAACTCGTGGAGCAAGGCTGGCTCGTCCGCGAGGATGCCGTGGACACTCTTGGACTTTGAGAGATAACCGTGCACAGGAAGATTTAAGGTTAAGTCGACGAACGCGAGCTTGATCCTGAACGTCCTCGTGGCGCGATCTCGTTCGCAGGTAGAACCGCGAGCTCAACAGGCGACGGACAATCGCGGGGGAGGTTAGTGATTGTTAATTGATACATGGATGCTGCCGTTCGCAGCTTCCGCGTTTTCACTTTGGCACCGGGCGACGCGGGCGAGATGAGATATGTCTGTACGAGTTCACGCGCGGGAACGTCCGAGGGACGACACGATTGCACGATTGTGATAAATCGCCAGCCTGCCGCCGGGATCCGTACGTTCATATATGGCAGTACGTGAGAGAGGCTTAACCCCGGAGCAAGATGCCGCACGTCACGCGAAAATGGGAACTCTTCCCGGGCAGGAATCGCTTCTGTTGCGACGGCAGAGTGATGATGGCACCGCAGACCGGAGTGTTCTACGTCACCGTGTGCCTCATCGTCGGGACAAGTGGATTGTTTTTCGGTTTTGAGTAAGCGACGCGCTCCGTTACGCTTTGTCTTTGAAAGCTAAACCTCGGGGTATCATCGTTAGTAACTCAATGTACCGTAATCGAAGGTGCATTGGATCATTCGTGAGATTAGGATGGTATTCCTATGTCCAATCTGGTCCAGTCTTATGTTCAAGATTGTCTTAGATTTGATCTCGGATGATCCTGAGATTCTGTCCATCCCGAGCATCTCGAGATCACGTTGGACCATACAATTATATACCTACAACCATATACATATGCTTGAATCTTAAATACAAGATTAGACTGTGAATACCGTCCTTAATCTATTAGTACATTGCGTGCCTTATCAGAACAAATAGATTGTCCTTCGGTTCTGAGTAAGCATTCCCTTTACTCTTGATTTTAAGGATAAACTTCAGTAGAGATAGAGTTGCTATAGCAACTTATGTATCCCAATCAAAGGTACATTAGATACTTTGTTAGAGATTAGGATAGTATTTTTTCATTAGTTTAATCTTGTATTTAGGAGTCACTGATGATTTTAAGCTACGATGCGACCAGTGAAACAATTATACGGCATCTCAGGATCATACTCGAGATGATCCTTAAATACAGGATTGGACTACGAATACCATCCTTAATCTATTAATATATTTTGTATCTTATTATTAGAATAAGTGGATTGTTTTTCGGTTCCGAGTAAGCATTGTTACATTTGACGTTAAGGATAACCTCAGAGTTAAGAATAAACCTCGGTATAATTATGATATAACTCTTGTATCGTAACGCAGAAGTACACTGGATACTTTATGACATTAAGATGGTCTTTTTTTCATAGTCCAATCTTGTATTCAAGATCATCTGTGACCCTAGGTGGTCTTGAGATTCTATCCAGCCAATGAAACGATTATACAACGTCACAAGATCATCCTCGAGATGACCTTAAATACAAGATTGGACTATGAATGCCGTCCTTAATCTATTAGCACACTGTACGCCTCATTGTCGGTACAAGTGGATTATTCTTCGATTCTGAGTAAGCGTCACATACGCTACGTTTGACTTTAAAGATAAGCCTCAGTATAATTAGAGTTGTGAAAGATTAGGGTATACTGTTTACCGTTGGTCTGATCTTATATTTGAAATCGTCTTATTTCTAATGTTGAAATTCCATCCAGCAAACTGTACAGAATCTCGAGATCATATACACAGGACGATAGTATATTAAGTATATTAGTATATTAAGATTAGACTGTAAATATCGTTCTCGATCTAGCAGCGGGAAAATTAGCTTTTATATACAACAGGATGAAATTTGTGGACAATGGTTTTCTTTTTCTTTTTCAGCTGTCCGTATCTGGCACTACATGTAACACCAGCAATACCAGTAATAGGAGCTTTATTATTTATATTCGTAATGTCTGCTTTGTTCCGCACAAGCTTTAGCGATCCCGGAGTAATTCCAAGAGCAACACCTGACGAGGCAGCTTACATCGAAAAACAAATCGGTACAAATATGATCATAGAGTATTTACAGACATAGTGATTGCGCTGTTTTTCGTTTAGCTACTTTAAAAGACTAGTAATGTTTTAATTCAGAGATAATAAGTGCTTATTATAAACATTTTTAATGCTGAATTGAAAAATTTTTTTATATGGATTGTAGAAGTACCGAACAATGATAACTCCAAGACATACAGACCCCCTCCTAGGACGAAAGAAGTCTTGATCAGAGGGCAACCAGTAAAATTAAAATATTGCTTTACATGCAAGATATTTAGGCCGCCAAGAGCCTCTCACTGTAGTTTATGCGACAATTGCGTAGGTATGTACTATACTTTATCAAAATTAGATATCTGAGGTGTTCGTCCTCCTTTTCACTCTCGCGTTATCAGACACTTGTCAGAATTAATCTTGAATACGATACTAATTTAATCACAGATATTGGGCGAGGGTCTTAAAGATAACTATTGTTGCAGAGAGATTTGATCATCACTGTCCATGGGTGGGTAATTGCGTGGGCAGAAGAAATTATAGATATTTTTATGCTTTTATAGTATCCCTCGCATTCCTTTGCGTTTTTATATTTATATGTGCAGTCACACATATGATTATGCGTGAGTAATCTTGATTTCCGGATCATTATAAATGAATTTATGCAAATGCAATTATAATAAAATCAGAACGTAACGTGTCTGTTTACCACTTGTGATTTTAGTTACGAAAGATAATAAGCCGTTTTTAGAAGTTGTAAAACTATCTCCAAGCAGCGTTATCGTGGGAGTCATATGCTTCTTCTCTCTTTGGAGTATCTTGGGCCTCGCTGGTTTTCACACGTATTTAACTAGCAGCAATCAAACGACTAACGAAGATGTAAGTACGTTTGACAAAATCACGTATCAATTATGTCTCGGCATTTTTCCTCAATTGCTGCTGCTGCTCCTCGTAGATTAAAGGGTCGTTCACGAATAGAAGAGGACAGGACAATTTTAATCCTTACAGTCAAGGAAATATCTGTGGGAATTGTTTTTATGTGTTATGTGGACCAGCTCCACCTAGTTTAATCGGTAAGATCTTTCGCGCGCACAAGTTGCATAATAATTCGTCCATGTGAATATGCAAGTCATAGAAGCTCAGGATATAGCTGTGACGTCATCCTTTAATTGTGCATTGAATTCATTCTCGAATCATATCGTTCCAGATCGAAGGGGGATAGTTACGCCTGAATATCGCGCGGAACACGAACGAGTTGGTGATGATAATGTGATTACTAATAATAAGACATATGGTACTGCCAAAATTGTGCAGCCTCAGGTAATTACAAATTTATAACTTTACAGGCTGACAAGCCTACTTTTTAATCGTACATTTGAATGCAGTAGGATATTTCTCAGTAGGCAATATACGATATATAAGTATAATATAAATTTATACATTTTTCGTTATTTTTATTTATTTTAACAGTCGAACGGTACGGCGGTTCAGACAAGCCCCAGCACGGATCTCACGGGCTCGATGAACAATTTGATCAGCGGTCAACATTCTCCAAGAATAGAGTCAATGAACGGTGAGTTGACCCTCTTGAGACATCCTACACGTTGTCCCGAGGACCTACCAAAATATCCGCGGCAATACATAAACGATACTTACGTGCCGCCGTATCCGGCGCAGCATTGCCCCGAGGATTCTATGAAACATATTAATTACACCGAGGTAGATCGGTTAAATCCGGACTTTCAGAAATATCCGTGTAAATGCGAGGACGGCTTGCACAAGTATCCTCATAGGTGTAGGGAGGAATATCATAGGTGCTCGGATAATAATCTTATATACGACCAGTGCATAGGGGATCAGAAATACGGCATTGATCTTCAGAAATATCCTCAAAGATACTCCGAGGATCCCTTGCGTTACAGGATAAGCGAGAAAAACGGTTATACCGATCTGCAAAAGTTCCCCCAGTGCTATTCCGAAGATCCATTACGGCTCTCGCAGTCGCCGCATATGCTTAAATATAACAATTTGAGATGTGCCGAACACAGCTTAAAATATCCGATAACGAAGAACATTCTGCCGGCGCGTATATTAGGCACGGGTGGCATACCGATTATCGGGCAGACCGCGATTGGCCTCGTGGTAAACAGATTCGGTTCCGGACCGCTAGCTAATAATTTATCGTACGCGGAGAATTCGTTATGCCCGAGCGATAGTACGGAAGAGGATCTCTTGAATCGTCGCTTCATTATGAGTTCACTCAGTGACAATGAGGACATTTAACGTCTATTATCAACCGATAACACATTTTTGAATTATAAAATTCATTTATAGTAGAAAATGAACAATAAAATAATTTATTATTGTTACATTCTTACTAAAGAAATCTTGAATTTATTAGAAAGTTTTAACGATTAGACTCGTGATTCGTGCTATTCTAAAAAAAAAAAAATCTTTCATGTTGAGAAAATGTACTGATTTGTATATACATATACATATAAATGGTTATATAATTGTTCTTGATTCCTTTAATTGGGAATTTTTAAAAATTATATATACAAATGCCAAGTTGAATTTAATTGTTGAAAAAAGAGATCTATCTATTTATTTTTAAAAGTACCGTTTTGCATTACGCATAGATGTTTATTTTAAAAATATATTATGGTGGTATATAAATGAATTAAGGTATATACGATACCCATTATGTTTAATTGATGTGACTTTTCTTAATGATATTCTTCTTAATTTATATATATATATATATATTTTACATATTACTTATTACATAAATAAATATTATATGCTAAACTTTTAAATCTGTTATTGCTTTTACACATATTCAATATTCCCGTTTAAAAAAATTATTTCGTATTTCTTTCATGAATTTTGCCAATGTTGCATAAGTTCCTTTCGCTATTATAAAAACGATGAAAGTGCATAATGCAAAGATATGGTTTATTTTTAATTCTGACAGAATGTAAATCTATTTGTATATATATTTATCTAAGTTTCTTAGTAATTAGTAAAATTTCGACATAATTCAATAAATTGTATTTCTCTGTTGTTTAAAATTACGTCCTGTTATCGAGGGCTCAGAGCGTACTACTCGGTAAGTTCACTTCAAACATTTTGATCGTCATTGAGTGTATGTTTTAATATACGAATGATCTGATTATTTCTTTTCACTAGCATTAATAAATCACCATACACGTGACATGTTTCTCTTATATTTTTACGAGACTAATTTTGGAGCGATACAATTAATTACAGGGTTTATGGCTTGTGACTAATCGGTTTTAATTTGATTTTATATTATAGGCACAAGATAAGATCTTATATGTAAATACTTACGTTAGTAAACATACGCGTGAAAATACCTCGATTTTTTGCTTTTTATTCGAAGGGAAAATTTCAATTCAATGTAATATTTTATTTTTTCAACGTGCGTATGCTCTCTTTATAAATTTACAAAATTCGATAAGACACCTTGTAATACCAAATAATGTGACGAATATGGTTTGATATACTCTTTTTTTTGTCTTTACGCATAAATGAAGGCAGTGTCCAAAAAAATTTTTGCAATGCTATGTTTAATGTAAGATGTTAACTTAACGGAATGTAGGAATGTGTATTGAGGATTAGTGCATTAAGTGGGTTTATTGAAATTACGATAAAGCTTGTATCGCTGATATATTGTGTGTAAGAAAAACACAAGGCCACAACGCTGCACCTTTCTGATAATAATTGTATAATATAATTTGTTTTTCCTTTTTCTGTCGATACTAAGGAGGTTTCATAACAGCTTGTACCCCTTCACGGTTTAATAGCAATTTATTTATATTTTAATGCTCTGTATGTGCACTCTATTTTTTTTTTGTACAAGTTGTCCATGCAACACCACCGAAACGAGATATACTTATCTGGCATTACGAACTTTGCTTTTAGGTAGTACCACAAACAGTATAAGTCAACTTGTTACCAACGAAATACCGCTAGCGTCTCTCAATATAGCACCAATTGATATCGACGAAATCGCACCGCTGCCTTCTCGTCAGAGTGTCGTGGTCTCTTCCGCTCTGGATACATCTTCCATACCAACAGTAACTGTAACGACCCCTTTATCTGCATCTAGACTTAGACTATTGCAGGACACGACGATGATAGAGTCCGCCTTAGACTTGGATTCGTTGGAAGATGCGAGCGTCGGTAGAGGAAGCCAGTCGGGGCTTATAAAAATGGGCGTAGTATAAAGTTTCCGGCTGCAAGCCGTACAGATTACGAATGATCGATTTCTGTCCGAGGACTAGTGCAGTTTCAACGTTACGTATTGAAATAAGGAACGCAATTTGCATTTTCATCGAGAAGCGTTCACGCATATGATAATTAAGTGCAAATGTTAATTGTTGTCATTAATTGCAACGGGATAGATATTTACAACGTTATACTTTTTCTTGGGAGAAAAAGTGATTTCGAGAAATTTATAAAATTAGAAAATTAAGTCACAAACAAAATGGCCGAATTCACATTGCTATGATTAAAGTACAAATATGATTATTTTGATAATTAAATTTGTATAATTGCATAATTGTGTTGCAATAATGTGTATTTAAATCGTAATTCCGTATGACTACTATTTATTATATCATATTCGCACATTGAACTATAATAATCATATGCCAGAAAGGTGTCGATGATATATTCCATTTTTCCAAATAATTCTGCGTTAAAATGTAGAATCGTCATTGAGAATGTAGAATCCGCCTAGGAGGTTTTAGAAAAATTTTTGAAAAGTATTATTAACGAGTTAATTAATTTATTATATACGTTAGATTATTCACGCAATTCTATAAAGTACTCAAGATTCTATAAAAAACAAAATAATGTTTGCTCGAAAGAAGATATTATAGTGATATAAAAAAAAAATCATGCTACTTAATTTCGTTTATGCAAATTTATATGTATAAGTTACGTCACACATAAGAAGATTTATTTTTTCAACTTATGGCACCTCTAATTGTTAGAAATACATACATTTTGCATTATTTTATATGTATATATATACGATATTATAAAAACTCTAATGATTTTGCAATAGATGTAAAAAGTCGATAGCTACGTGTGTACAAACCATATTTCTGGCACTTGTTCGTGCTTATACTCAATGAGAGAAAAAGAATCAAAGTTGCACTATAGAGACTGGAATAAATATGTTTTAACGGGATGAAAGTAAGAATGAAGGAAAAGAGGAACGTTGCTTTCAGTACGATATTTATTGCAGAAAAATGTTAAGAACTACGATATTTTTTCTGTTACGTTTTCCTAACATTCTTAGAGATATTGTCTTTTCGAAGGGATTTGTCGTGTACAGTGTAAAAAGTTTTGTAAATAAAATTTTCATACACGTTAGCATAAAGAATTTTACAGAATATTTACAAAATTTATTAAAGCAATGCAGTTGATAGCGAGCATTTAAATATTAGGATTATCACTGCCTAATTTATTAACAAATTTTGTATCAAAATTGCATGTTTTTACCTAATTTGACATTTATTATGCGATATATTATTCATATATGAGTAATATTAAAGACTATATTAATAACAGAGCAGTTGACATACTAAAGATATCAAGGATTGCCATTACGAAGACTAAAAATTCTAAGGTTACTATTCTTTTGTATATAAAAGTACGTGTGTATGATATGGTATATGTATATATTATGTAGATGTTATAATAAAATCCGCATATAATATAAAACAAGTTAAAGACATTTTGCAATATTTTTATTGTAATTCCTCGAAATATATTAATAAAAAGGAACAACGCATGCGTGTGAGAGCTAAACTAATTATACATTATTTTTGTTTTACACTAAAATCACACACTTTTAGATATAAAAGTAAAAGTGATTATAAGAATTCGATCTCATATGAACGTAATGTTAGTTGGATTAAAGAAATTTGTATATACGTTAACTTTCAAAACATGTATATTAAATAATTTTTAAAATTTTTACATCAAAATTTACACGACTTCAAATATTACTTATTATTACTTTAAAATGGACATTTGTATATTACATGATATATATATTATATAAACAAATTGCTACGTTTTACGTGCACTGTGAGTAAAACGCAAATGCATATATTACATCATGTTGCTGTACGAGTTGTTATACATGAGTTGGTGCACGAGGATAGCAATCATCATTAAAATAAACGCAACGCTTAAACCGGTAGTATAAACGATCGCTTGATAATTTCCAATTTTATCGGCATTATTGTCCAACTGTTTAGTATTGACATCGCTTTGGCAGTAGAATTCCGTAGGATCTGCATCAATATATTCGGTTGTAAAACAATGTATGTGACTTCGAGTTGCTTATATGATACTTTACATTTTTTTTTCTTCACTTACCAGCTTGTATCTCGACCTCTTTTTGAACCTGACTTTCTTGCACTTCGAGATCTAGAAGTTCTTGCAACGACAATAACGCCTCTTGCGGCCCTTCGCCGGGAAACAGATAGTCCGATAACGTGACTTTATTTTCCGGTAATGCTATTAATACTCGTCTCGGTGGTTCATGCAACGTGATATTCTCTGAAACCACAAGTTTGCGGAATATAAGTATCAAATTCTACTATTTATATTACATGTCCTTCAGTCATGATTTACCTTCGGGAGAACCATTTTCCTCCTCTATCAAACTATCCCAATGCATTTCCAATCTACTCGCCAGAGATCTCACTATATCTTCTTTCACAGCCGTATTGGCCTCTGCGATACTGGCTTTCTGATGTACAAATGTTTTGCTGACTAATTGTCCAATTAATCGTATCAACGCGCTGCATGCCGTCGTTTTTACATCCATATTACTGTTATCTTGTGACTAATAATAAGATAAATTGTGCTTAATTTTTTCATTATCTCTTTTCGTAAAAACTTTAAATAAATCTACTCGTACTCACGCAAGGAATATATAGGCTAACTTGAAGTGAATTACTGCTATCATTTGTCTTATTTTTACACTCCTTATTGTTCTTCTTTTTCTTGCCAAATATTTCTAACGTGTCATCCGGAGATCTGACCTCTCCCTCGATAACGATGAGCGAAGACTCGATTAAATCTACCACGTTTGTCAAGATATTCTGTAAAATTTATACTATACTTAATACTATATTTAATGGGTTAATGTAAAAGAAAAATAAATTGTTCCATTGGTTAATACCTGTAATTGCTTCTTGAGAGTTTCGGGATCCTTGTCTGCGGCAATGAGGTACAATTTGTCAAAGTCTACCAGAGCTTCAAGTTGATACCACCTGGTTGCTTTTTCTTGGAATTTCCAATCGGCCGGTTTCAACATACTGTCCTTAGCGATGTCTATAGACTTGCAAATATATCTGAAAGTAAAAAAACTCTAATTACTAAATTAATTAAGATATAGCGTGGAACTTGCGTCTGCTTGAGGAACCCAGGCAGGAACTTACTTTTGCGTGACACTGTTGAAACTTAATATAAGCTTCTCATCCTGATTATTTCCACAGAGGTATTTGTTATTCCACGACAAAGTTTTGTGAATTGCACCAAGAACCGATTTGAGCTTTTGCACATTGCTAGTATTGTCTAAGGTATCCTCGGGTCCGACAATAAATATGCCAAGTACCCACATTCCGCCAGGCAGCATTCTTGTGACCTGTGAAAAAAAAAAAAAAAAAAAAAAAAAATGTGTATTCAGCTTTATGTAACATGTTAGGTTGCTTCAATGTACATTAATTCCTTATCTTTCAAATTGTTTATAGATTTAGGATTTAGGTATATCTGTCTAGTCACTTGTCAAAATATTCATGTGTCATTTATAAAAAAGATACCATCAAAATTATTGACATATCACATTGATAATTTTATTAGATTGGAAACAAGCATTATATTTCTTTTGTTTCTACTCGTTCTCACAATAATTAAACGGTCCATAAAAATAAGGAATTAAATGTCCTATTTCGTAATCACGCCACAAAGACTGTAACACACATGTTTAGCGTGATCGGCAACCCAGCTCATAGGTATATCTTTAACAGATCTGATATACGTATTCGCTACATCCTGTTCTGCGGGCGCTGAGGAACCAATCAATGTTTCTTCCACGACATTTTTACTAAGAGGAGGCGGTGTCTTCGCTAAGTGCACAATGTAATCCTTTTGCACGGAACTCTGTAATATCAAATAGAGGACAGTCAAGCAATGTCACATACAACTTACCGTTAAATTTAAAATACCACACGACAACAGAATTAAATTAAATATTTTGCCTTCAGTTCCAACGATCAAAGAAAAAATAAAAAATAAAGAATGTTAACAGTCGTTGCTCGACTTCTGTTAATTTTAAATAACTTGGAATACGCTGAAATACGTTGCGTGTTTTCCATTTCTTATCGCATATGTTAAAAACGAGAGCGTTATTAACATGCGACGCGGATAAAATACTGAAAAACTGGAATAACCTGTCCTAAAATCAATCCTATCACATATCCATCGGGCTTAGCTAAGGATGCTAGATATGTGCGAAGGTGCTCCTCAGCATAAATTGTCCGTCCCATTTCTTCCGCGTGCTATCCTCTTTGATTTTTCTTAACTTCTCTTAACTTGACAGGAATGACAGGATCGCGACAATGCGCGAATCGTGCACGACAGTCGCGACACTGGCACCACCCATGGTGTAAAGATGGAAGCACATAAAATTGCAGGAGCCATGAGCAGAATGCAGAAGCCATATGCGCATGCGTTCAGCAGACACAACTGTTGAGTTCGTCTTATCAACACTCTGCGTTGATTGATTGGTTCTAAAAGTAAGAGCCAATCACGTTCGACTGCTACTCAGCAGCTTGATCTGCTGAACGCGCCTTTTGTTTTATTGATCTTTAGCTCTTTTGTCAACATGTTGCCTTCCACAGTCGAACACGTGTGAACACGTTAAATAACGGTTTGGTTCGATGTCCACATTTGCCGTAAGATATCTTCCGTTGGTTCCTTTGCTAGAAGAAGAGGGATTGTATTCATTATCGTTGGGATTAATTATAGCCTTATTAGTAATGAGTATGTATTATCGCAGCGGAATGCGGAATTGCAAAAAAGTTAAGGCTCGAGAGGAAGTAAATCACGGCAACCGGAAGTCAACCGAGCGCCATCATGGCGCACTTTGTAATCGCATTAAAACGAAATCGCGAAAACGAATCCCGTTTCAACGTACGAGTGAGTAGATTTTTGAAGATTATTCAAAGCACAGACTCCATGTCCGGTGTACAATAGGTGTACAATAGAGTCCCGGTTTACAATAAGTGTTTTAATCTCTAAGCTGACTTCCATTGTCTTCTTTTCTTGCCAGGAATGCGAGCCGATACGAAATGCACCACCTGGAAAGATGTACGTACGATGTCCGTGCAATTGTCTGTTCTTATGTAAAAGCTCCTCGCAGTGTATCAGCTGCCCCAAGCCAAATTGTAAACGTGTTATCAATCTGACTGATCTGACACCGAACCCCATACCGGGCATGCGCAAGGTGGGATGTGCCCATTGCCATGACACATTCTTGGTGAGTCATCAGCGATTATAGTTATTTTGTTTTATTGATCTTCAGCTCTTTTGTCTTAAAATGTTGCCTTCCACAGTTTAACACGTTTAACGGTTTGGTTCGATGTCCACATTGCCGTAAGATATCTTCCGTTGGTCCAAACTTTGTTAGAAGAAGAGGGCTTGCATTAATTTTCGTTGGGATTATAACCTTAGTAATTGCTACAGCTTTAATGGTAAGTGTACACACTCAATTTCTTGTTTGTATTGTTGGTGATCTCTATAATATCAATTTTATACCGTATATAATTATAGGTCGGGACCTATATATATGCAGGAAACGGAGGTCTTTATCTAATTTATATTGGTGGGTATAAGCGGTATCTCAAATTTCGAAAATTGTCGATAAAAATTCGTCAATAACTTCTACTATTCAGTCGCTATTTAAAAAATTCGTCCATCACATTTTTGGATCATTTCCAGTTGGATTTCTATTGGGGCTTTTAAGCTTGGGTCGCGGCATTTATTACTGTACGATGAAGAACAGTTTGATAGAGGATCCCGTATAGGCTCCCAAACAGCAGTGAGCAACCGGTAATATGAATCAAAACCCATTGAGATGAATGTCATGTAACCTATTTAGAACAAATGTTAATAGTAATGTGACATTTCAAGCCCTTTTGAGGCAAGGAGTATATACGCATATGGGTATATATGCATGGCTATATGCAGATCTGTATTGTTTATTATAATGCGTGTATACATTCTTATATAATACGCATACACATATGAATGTATTTCGCAATTGGGAAGAAAGCAAACGTTTGCGACGCTTTCCCCAGGTAAGATAACGATCGTTGGAAATCTCTCTCGAAAGCCTTATTTTTATACGAAGAATAAATTGTTCCTATGCACTTTTATATGTGCAAGCATAGAAGCAATTAGCTATCGGCTCTCCGTGTTTTATTTTACTTACTGACTAAAGAATACGCTTTATATTAAAATATACGTACAACCTACATACATGCTTTTTATAACATATTACGCGTATTAAGTGTATACAAATAGAATCGAAGTGCAAATGTGCTCATATTCCAATTGTACGTACGAAGTAAGTTTTAAAACTCATATACGAGTCTGTACGAATCTGTTTTGAAATATATTCTTTACATTCTATATAAAAGCATCTATATTAAAAACAAAATCGCATTATTTCAAATAAATTTCTAGGTTTATAATATAAATAAATAATAAAATATAAATAATGCACTTAGTGATACAAATCCAAATATAGAATTTCCCTGATTATTACGTGAAGAATACTCTGTAAGATGTTTTCAGTTTTTGCTGTAAAGTACACGTGATATCATCGGTCATGAAAATATAGTCTTATTGATTAGGTGTGTTTTCGTCATATAGCTTTTATAATCTGCAATACTCTTTCAAATGCAACTCTTTTTTCTAGGCAACTCTTTCTACAGCAACTATTCTCAACTCTATACATATAAGTTTCCTTATCACATAATAGAAGATGTTATACTTGTTGAAAAAAATAAATTCCGTTTGGTAAAAAACTAACAGCTGTATTTATTCCATAACATGTAGATAAATTTGTCGACCCGAGAAAAAAATTGGTTAATATTGAATCGCCATACGAAACATTATATATATATTAGGGTGAATAAAAAAACCTTTTTTTCATTTATATATATATACACATTCAAACAATGTACAAAAAAAAGGTTCGGAACGCACTCGTGAAAGACTCCGTTCCGAAACGCATTATAAAAAAGCCGTCCTGCGTTTCGAATGCGTTCCAAAACTTATCAGAAAAATTGCATCATTCTTATCCGATTGCATCGCGTTCCGAAACTCATGGCAAAATGGCGTTTCAATTTTCATGCATCTTTCTCTCTCACTATCTCTATATAAAAATGTATACTCTCCTGATAACTATAATGATATCTCAAGTATTCTTCGAAAGACGCGTGTTGCAAGTTGCAACCACGGTCTATGCAACTACCCAAACGCTCCTCTTATCACATATAAGTACATATTGACTTCAAATGCTTTAACATGTATCTGGAATTAATTATCAACAGCTCCGAAATGTTATCGTATTATTGCAGACTTTTTCTCAAGGACAATCATATCACGAATTTGGACTATGATGTATTCAACCCGGAGAAATAGCTATTTGGGCTTATATATACGTCCCGATATTTATAAGTTTACATCACGTGCAAAGTTCTCAATATAATTGGCAATCGAATATCGGAACGTAGCCTTAATCGCGAAGGCATTCCTGAACTATACGCCGAGCGATAGTTCAATAATTGACTGTAATAGTCTGTGGAATGAACTAGCTCTACCATGCTTGATTATTGATCATTTATAACAGACAACAGTGGATGCTTTCCAGCAAGGAAACATAAATGGACATAAAATAGTAATATCAAGCTAGAACACAGCTGTGTAAAACTGTTCGTTAGAACATCATTTTATCATCAAAAATGTTGCTATTACAGCAATTCTCGTTTCATAACTGAAATGTTAACGATAAGCGATGTTTTATCTATTCTCAGGCTTGTATATAATATTTTAGAGCACACATTTTCAATTTGATATCATAAGATCTTAAATTTTAATTATTTTAATTAGCTTATAGAAGACCGTGAGAAGAACTATATATAAGTCCCTCTCTGCTGAAAGCTGAAACCGCAATTGACATTTAACACACGCAGACACGCATCACACGCTGACACGCATGCGCGAAGAATGTGATGGCACTGATGGACTGATGGCACGTCTAATAACCACTGTTCACTAACGCGTTTCTGATAAAGGTCACGATAAAGGTGATAAATGAGAGACACAAAATATCTAATCCGCCGTTGCTCTATTACCACAGATAAATGTATACGTCCAGTGACGGGTCTATTTTAAATAAGGAACGAATCAAATCTATATATAGGTGAAATAGTACTTGCTAACCGCAACGCGATACCGCATGTAGCATTTAAAAAAAGTGGCATTTTTTTAAATAAAGCAAGGAAGAATAAAAAATGCATGGTATCATTCTTCTCCTATTTATTCTGAGTATTCAGCCAGATGGAGGATTTTCGGAAAACTGGATATCTCCGTGCGATGTGAGTTACACAACAAAAATTTATACTCGAAAATAAATACGTTCCGTGTATTTTTGTGTATTACATGTATATAATATATATATTAGGTACACATATGTATATATATCGTCGTGTATTTTATTTTTCAGTATAAATTCAAACAGAAATACCCTAAGGATAAAAACATTTCTAACACAACGGTTGGATTTGTCAATTCTACGCACATCATGTATTGCCCCCTTGAAGAGGTTAATAAGTCTGTACACTATGTTTTAAAGTATAGTGACGACGATGAAAGAATCTGGCCCGGTATGTGCTTCTGGAGAATTGAGTAATCAATTTCTAGAATAATTAGATCTAATTGCATTCATCAATTCTATTTTTGTCTTTCATCTAAGATATGTTAGAGGTACAGTTTACACCTCCTAAAAGAGAATGCTTCTACGGAGTAGCCTTATTATTTAATCCTTCGATCCAAGATGAAGATGAGTGTTTCGATTATGAGTTTGGTGATAAGTACGACGACTGGCAAGTACACACCCCAGACAAGACTATTGATACGTACGACAACTGGCAAGTACACACCCGAGACAGGAATACGTGTGTTTTCAAGCACGATAATCCATTTGTAGAATATACAACTAGAAATTACACGACAGGCTTCCTGTATGAGGTAATGAACAATGCTAATCTGATATATGTATGAAATGATGTTGCAAAGTCATACATTGAGCACTAGTGTACACGCAATATCTGTATACACAGACACTAATTAAAGGGAAACTTATTTTAAAAATCACAAATAATTCCAGGATAAGATCGGGGTGTTGTTCAACTATATATTTAAAGGATGCTACGTGGTTCGTTTTAACGTAAATCATAATCCGAGATATGTAATGAGCAATCCTGCATTTGCGAACACTACTTATAAACGAAGGGAAGTGCAGGAACTGGACTTCATCTGCAGATATTATGCACGTCCTAATCCTGAGGAAAGGTATAAAGATAAGATAATCCTTCCATTGTAATACATTTCCTATCGGAATCTTTTTGACAATGGTATGTTTTCTCGAGAAACTTAGAAATGATTTGACGTAAAATTAAATGAAAATTGCATATCTATATTTACAGCAAAATGACGAATTTCACGTTAGATATTACGTTACCGGCAGATACAGGAGTTTCCCTTAAAGTATTTTTGATATCGCAGCGGAATAAAGATCGAAGTAAAGGTTGTTTATGGCAAACAGAACTACCATTATTCGTATGGACAATTGACCTGGTAATATTTAATTATTAAAATGCGCTTTCTTTCCTGTTTTTAGCAGCTGACATTCTTTAAATTTTTATTGTTACAGAGAGTTGATAGTGGATGGAGAAACCTCTCAGATCAATATTGCGATGTGAAATTCGTAAATATTATTTTTCTTAGTTATCTTGGATATTATTTTAATCTTGTATATTATTTTAAAGTCATCAAAATATTCATTTTTTATCTATATTCAGATATGTAAATTATATTAAAAAGAAAAAACTTTTAAATAGGTGGAGCCGGGAAAGAGGAGGTATGAGAAGAGAGTAAAATGTAATTTTCTAATAGAAGCGCCAGCTGCAAATTCTTGTTTTGCATACGGTTTGAATGACGAGCGATGTGCGAAAAATACCATATGGAAGCCGGAATCAGGAAGTAAAAGGAAAGCGTGTCTGTGGGTAAAGCGTAAGTATAAATTAAGGATGGACATGTAATATTACATTATACAAAGTAGAATTAATATCTTATTAATTCTACTATTCTACTATTATCTACTTATTCTACTATTATCTTAATAGTAGCAGTTTTTTTCTAACTGATGTATCGTATCAATTGGCGTATTAGAAATAGTAGCTTAAACTTTGCACGTAAATATTAATTTTGCAAAATAGATTTTTCGTTCAGACACGAAATAATAGTTCTAACAAATTATATTTGTAGACTGCGGACGAACTTACGTACAACACTGGGTATACGAATACCTTCAGACACCGAGAACACTGATACAATCAGACACGTTACTGAGCGCAAGTTCGTACCTGTTGTTGCCAATTATTGCCATTGTATTAATCGTAATGGCAGTAATTGGAATATTATGTTTCCGGCGTTATTTGCGTATTCGAAGGGAGGAAATCAATTTATACGTAAACTCGCAACACGATGATTCCAATTGTCTAAAATCAAACGATCTCGGTATTATTGATGACAGTGAAAAGGAAATCGGTCACGATAATCCTTCGTGCGACAATATCGTACTGCTTTACACCAACAGTTCACCATTTTTCATGGCATTGATGAAAAATTTTCGTAAAACACTTGCCAAGATGTGCTCTTGTCCCGTAAGTTTCGCGTGTTAATAATATATTGTACATATAACACAAAATTCTGAAATTTCTAAAATTAAAGTATCTTTCTCCGTTACAGTTTTCGAATTTATATTATGTGAAGTAATGCAACTTGAATGTTAAGAACGTTTCTCACGATTGTTGTTCTTAAAGGTGCATGACTGGCATGACGGGGCTATATGGAACGAAGTGGCCAAGGTTGGTGCTGTTTCATGGTTTACCGAGTTGCTTAATAATGGATGCCGCGTCGTTTGGATGGATACACCGGCCACGAGATCCGCCGTTATATCAAACTCGAGGGACGACGAGTCGAGCTCGGACAAGCTCAGTAAATATTATGAGATACACGATTTCCGCGATATGGCATTTCGCGTGGTGCTCGAGGTGGCAAAAAGCAAAGTAAACGTAAACGACGTCGAGCGGCAGTACCGCAGGCACTTCATCGTAAGGTGAGCTCCATTATCAGATAATTATTTTCGATATCCAAAGTGCGTAAGTTCAACTATTCGTGACATCGCAGGTTCGAAGGATTAGAGAGCACGGCAAATGTGGACGATCCATTTTTAGATCTCTCCCCTCACGCGCGATATTACATGCCGCAGCATCTCATGCACTTGTGTTCGGACTTGTAAGTATGTCGCGTAATCTCCCCAGTGTTCTGTAAGGAAATTTGTAATTGGAACGCTTTCAGGTCGGTGACGAAACCAAAAATTTCAAAATCCAAGATGAAGATAGACGAAGATGTTTACCGTCTTTTCGTACACCAACTTTATAAGTCTCAGACGCAGCAACGCTTAAAATCTATGAAGATTGACTCGACGATATGAAATGACCATTTATTTTAAGATCTCATTATCCAAATCAACGACTGTCCAATGCAACGAGACCTCATTCGTGTTTTTTCTTTAACATGAAATGTGATTGCGAAAGCACAAATTTGTTGTAATAACAAAGATACTACCTCAAAATGCGTATAAAAATTATATAGGGCAATATATACATATGTCTACAGGATGTCCTCCGTCAGAGCAGAATTAATATTCGCAGCAAATGTAAATCTAGCAATTTATATTTGCTACTTATCTGATTAGTTCTTCAGCGATATTGATGATAAGGATGATTGTTGTCCCGTACTGTTAGGATTAATTGTTTGTAAATCATTGAATTCGATTTCACACAATCGCGCGTAGTTTAAGTTTTAACTGAACTTTACACATTTATTACGTTGACAGAGATGTATATTTGACGTATATATTTATAATATATATTTTTAATAAAAAAAGACTAGAAAAAACAAAAATCTGTTATTTAATTTATCCGTATGATAACGTTTCTTATTTCGTGCTACCATACGACTTATAAAGATTATTCGTAATTGCTATTGCGATCTAAGAAAATATAGCGTTATCGAAGATGCGATCTTAGTGAAAAATTTGCGATTTATTATTGTTTCGATTTATATTTCCTCCTCTTAACCGCATGCGTTATTTTATATCTCTGCGCACTAATAGAAATGGTTGCCTAGGCATAGGCACGCGTTTAAAAAGTCTCAATTAAATCATGCTATAAAGTGAGACCTTGACCTTTATACTTTATGGCACGTGTATCAAAAGCATTCGCAAATGTCACTATATATATATATATATATATATATATATATATATATATATATATGTACACATACAAACACAATTATTTTCAAAATGTAAAATTGTTCCTGCGTGTGAAATATTTTAAGATGTATGTGTATATGTATTTATATATCGAGAAACAATAAACTTCGAATAAGATATCAATATTTGATAAAGTATTAATGGACATGTGACACGCACAAATTATCTCATTCCTCATTCAATAGATTCATCTCATTTAATGGATTCTAATGAACGCACGTTTATTGTTCCACGTGGTCAGGCGCATGTCGTCGGACCGGTCGGGCCTCACACACACATACACACACACACACACACACACACACATGTACACATACACACCAACACACTCGCACGCACACGCACTCGCACAAATGGACGAGGAGATGTTTTATTTGAAATTGCGCGTAACGAAAGGCCATTTCATGCAATCTGTCACACAAAAGAGTTGTGTCTCGTTCGCGTTGCCTTGAAAGAGAGCTAATTACCGCGGAGGAGTAACGTACACACATTTCCGCGCGAACGGATCGGGACTCTGGAAATATTACGTCCGGCGAATTAATAACGCGTTAACATCGCGCGTTTTAACGAGCGGCCGATGAAAACATATATATGTGTTAAAACGGGCCCAACAATCTCATCCATTGTTGGCCGAGGATAATTTTGTAACTGGCGCTTTTCGGGCACCTTCGCGGCCGGCGCCGCCCGTAAAATTCGTGGTAACGACCTCGATACCGCTGACTAAATCCAAATTTGACGGCACAGCTGTTTTAGCGCGAACGCGACCACTTTCCGGGGTCTCCGGGGCTTCGTCTTCTCATGCGATTGACCGCATATTTCGGATCGCGGACGGATCGGGTTCGCGGACGTTGAGATAAATTTCAGCGCGAACGGCGAAATATTACCGCGGCGTCTAATAAAAACGGAGAATACGAATAACGTCGCGCGCGTGTGACTACGAGCATATTGTTCGCGCGTTGGCCGCGTTTATCCTCTCTCAAATGTTATTTTCGCGTGAATTAACTCCGGAACGCGTAGAAGCTTCTTCCTTCCGAGAAGGAGCAACGATCGCGAGACGATCCGCGAGGAATGTCCCGAGACGGCACGCATGTCCAAAATCGGGACATATGATGTATTATGTATGACATAATGTTTAAAAGATGATCCCAAAAGATCGAGGTCTTATATCTCGATCTTGAAACATAGTCCGGATCCCTCCCAAATCAATTAAAAGCCGCGCCCACGTGGATCGCCGGCCGTCGCTCTTAAAAGAAAAAAAGGAAAAAAAACAGGGAGAAAAGCCGCGGTGAAATAATATAAAAATATTTCCACACGCGAGAGGCGGTGGCGGCGGTCCTGGCCGGATAATTGGAGTCATCTTCCTCTCGATACGATCGTTCTTTCAATAAAAGTAATTATCGTGTCGTCCTTTTGAGATAAAAATCGATTCGGGAGGGTAGGGTGAGAGCGAGAGAGCGAGCGAGAGAGAGAGACAGAGAGCGACAGTGCCTAGATGAGGGTGGAGGAAACAAATTGGGGAGATCTCTATTACGCGCCGTACAAACGACCGGTGGCGGATAATGAATTCGATTGTTTGCCGGTGGTATTATCGCCCTACTCCCCGATAATAACGGCCAATCGGGTAAAGGGAAGGGCGCCCGCTGTTACATTCGAAATATATAAATGGACCAATAACTGTTACACCGCCGTTCAGTCGGGTCCCTCGATTCACCAGTTGATAAACCGCCGGGCGCCTCTCTTTCCCCCGTATATATTTCTTTTTCTTCACACCCCGTCTCCGTCTCTCCGAGGCCCACCGAGCCATCGTCCGCACCGTCCGTCGTCGTCTGGAAAATCGTGACCGCCCATATAGTTGCCGCAGCGGAAGGTAAGTCATCCTGGCGTGAGTCACACCCCACGCCGGGGGCCACCTGACTTTTCTTCCTTTCCTCCCTTCACCTGCGAACCCGGCCCCGACCTAGACCTGGCCGGAAATTATCTTCCCGGGAACCGTGGCGCGGCGGCGGCGGCGGCGGCAGCGATTCCCGGAGAAGAGAAAAGGAGCACGTGGTCGTACCTCCCGAAATAATTAACGGAAGACTTCTCTTCTCCGCGCGGAGACGATTTATCGGCTCGATACCTCTCCGGCTTTCGGATTCCCTCCGCGTGAATCTTCATATCCGAAATAAACGTGCTTGTTAAAGCGTTCCGGCGTCTCTTCGAGACGACGCGCTTGGGTTTCGCAGAAAATTCATCAAAGGAGCGTAAAAATTCCTTCAATTCGTTTCGAGTGGTTACATAGATATTTTTCCCGACGGAAAACATTTTCTTACGAATCCCTCGCGAGGATCCAATTTAGATCCCCCAGGTAGAACGTGAAAACTCGCGATGACATCACGTTGACGTCATCGCGACTTTATTCGTCACTCGAAGATCACTTGAACGTCACTCGAACGTCACTCCGACCTAATCGTGACTCTTTCCGTTCTGCCTGGTGGATCCGCGGAACGGTTTCGTGGAAAGAAAAAAGAAAATTAAGGCATCCGTATCGTAAAGGAACGTGCCTCCGCGCACGTGTCGGTTCCGATCCGCTTTCCCCTCTCCGTCGCAAGAGCGCGGCGGCTAAGCTAAAGGCAAACCAATCCGGGCCGAAATGGCTGATGCAACCGCGGCAAAATCGCGCATCTGTCGCTCTCGCTCTCCATCGCGCGCGCGGAGTACCCTTTTTCTCTTTTAGCCGGGCCGGCCTGACACGCGAGACATCGAGACACGGCTCGATGGTTGAATTAATCTATACCCGGCCTATTCGCGCGTTTAACATACGAGGGTGTTCCCTTGCGGCGAGCGCGCGTCTCTGAGTCAGCTCTCTTCCCTCGTTTCGCGAGGAAAGGTATCTGGTAGTTCTCGAGCCGCGAGCGATCGAGGAGGTCTTTTGCCGAGCTATGCGGGGGACGACCGGACGATAAAAGTTTCCTTCTACTCAGTTAATTTGACAGGTAGAAACCCCGCCCGAACAGATTTTTTTTTTTAACGCGAGACGACGTTCGCGGACGGGCTTTGCGATAAACGAATTTAATCGGGCTCGCGCTTCGGCAAAAAAGGGTCGTGTCGCGATAGAACGACGGCCCGCGCCTTGACCGCGTTAAGGAAAATCGATTCGGACCGAAGGATTGATGTTCGACTCGGGAGGATCCGTTCGGCGCGAGAGAGACCAACCATATGCTACGCGTGGAAATAATAAGCGACATCCGCGAACGTTTCTTCAGCGCGAGATCTATGCGAGACCTATGCGTTTCATCATCTATTCCCCCCTCCCCTCCCCCGACAAAATTCCATCAAATCGGCGTTGATTAATTCGATTAACGCGTTATCCGGTTTGCAAAGTCGCGCCTAAAACAAGCCCGCGTCCTCTGTTCTTCGCTATCTCGGAGAAAATCTCGTAATTTCTCGAAGGCGTGCCCGATAGTTCCGACACGTGCCCGAATCCAGACCACGTCCAGCATCATGTCGAAAATCGGGACTTAAGACGTCTTTAACAACTGTCTCTTTACTCTCTTTCCAGATGCGGCTGTGTCTCTCGAGTCTCGCGCACCTCCTGGTGCTCGTCGCCCTGGCCGACGTGGCCCTCGGAAGCTACTTGACGCTCTTCCTGACGAACGCGTCGTCGCGGGCGAACGCCGATCAATCCGGCACGGCGAACAGAGTGAAATACAACGCCAAGCCGGCTGCCTGGAAAAAGGTATATTCATCGATCGTGCAAACTCAAATTTCGATTTCTCTTTTGTATTTTTTGACATTCGGCTGTACGGCCTCTCGACTCCGTTTTTTTAGCTCTACAAACCGTTAAGAGACTTTTTCTCCGCTTTACATTTACAAGTCCTTCTCATTTCGTAATATAAGATTTCGTCTGAAACCTTTGATTTTTAGAAAAACTTGAGGACAACGTGGACCAAAATTTTGCAGTATCCGCCAGATTCCATGGAAGTTGCCGTCGGGTAAATATATACATCGATATATAAAGTAACTTTAGTGCGCACACATAGACGCGGAAGTAACGTGATCGCATTCCGCTCGTGTTCATTTAGGAGCCGCGTCGAACTGCATTGCGAGGTAATTGGAAATCCGCCGCCCCAGGTCTATTGGCTAACAGGAAACGAGCCGGAAAGGCAGGTCGGTCTCGTAATTAACGCTTAGAAAGAAATCCATCGGATGATTTATGATAGGCCATTATGTAGCGACGCTCCTTGTTATACCCGTTTATCTTTCCTCTTGCAGAGTCAAGAGCTGCTCGCGGGGTCGCTCCGCTCTGAGGAAGCGAGCGGCGTGTCGACACAATGGGAAGGGCTCAGTCAGGTCTCCTCCACATACGTGATCGATTGCGTCAGAGCTGAGGATCAGGGTCTAAAATATTGTATGTCTTTGTCGAAAAATATAGTCCAAACGGCGGCGACGGCAATCCTGGTCAATAGTAAGCGAGACAATAGACAATATCTCACCGTTGGACCCAACAGACATTGTCCGCGGGATTGTCTGATATCATTGTATTGTCCACCAGGTACCAAAGTTGCCGAGTGCAACAAGGAGAGCCAGCCCACCATCACCCTGTACCACTCTTGGCGATTGGCGCTTGAAGGGACTACGGTAATTCTTCCGTGTAGGGTCGTGGGCCAGCCGACGCCCTATCTGTTCTGGATGGACAACTCGGGCAAGACCGTAAGCCTCGCCACGCACGCGAGACACACCGTTCTACCTAGTGGCGACCTGCAGATAACGGATATTAAGTGGGAAGATATGGGTGACTTCACTTGCAAGGTGCAGTCGGGATATACGGAGAAAAGCGTGACCACGTTTCTGTATCCCGTATGTTCCGTACGTACATTAATTAATTTTCGCAACATTATCTGGTATAACTTGTATCTAACGTGTTAAAAACGTATCAATAAATTGACGTCGTAAACGACGTCCAATGAGCGGACGTCGTTAACGTGATATTCTCGCGAGATACATCCAATCTAATTAATTCCTTTTTTTTTAACTGCAAAATAGGGGTATGCATAAATCGTTCGTAATTTTTTGTTTCAGGAGGACACGGAAGAGTGACAAGTTCCGTGTAAAAAGGCTTGAAAAGATTCCTGCATTTCCAACGCCTTTTGCTATAAGAATGCATAAGTGACCAAAAAAAACTATTACACTCATTATTTGTCTATAAAAATAGAATGTAATTTAATTAGAAATATTATGTATTAGAGAAAAGTACTTATTTCTTTTTGTTACATTTACGATACCAGTGCTACTTGTCCTCGAAAGCTCGATATTTGAGCGACAGAATCGCTTTTCACGTTGGATCGACGCACAAAAAAAGAAAGTCTTCTCTTGTACTCGCATCGAAGAAAGTTTGTAAACGAATTGAAAACAGTTTTAATAAATGCAACCTATACCACATCTATACTTTTGTAAGAAATGTTTACTCCCGCTATTTGCCGCAAAAGTGTTGAAATATAGATTTTCTAACGTTCTTTGGTTTATCGACATCCACACAACGTGTATCTTAAACTATTTTAATTTTATTACATATGCAATTTAATTGTATTTACATTTCGTACAAGGTTTTATAATTTATAAATTTGTGATGGAATTTACAATAAGAATTAATTCATTAATTAATGCGAATTATACGTTACTTACCACTCGTGGTTGTCCGTTAACTCCAAATAAGAATTACACATTCGATCAGTCCACATCAGAATAAAACGTAAGCTCTTTTTACAGCTTCCACTCCTTCTTCCCGCCTCGCAGTTTCTTATTAGTTATAATGTGAAGTATAAACAGACGGAAAACGCATACTTATTAAATCGGTTTATTAAGCAGAAACAATATTTCCGATTCGAAGTTGTGTCGCTGTTTGTCAAAATGATAATAATAAAAAATGATTTATTCTAAGCGGAATCACAAGTTTGAATATTGCATCTGTTGCAAAGGCCATCAATAAATACTATTGTTCTATATAGAAATGTATTTATGACGATACAGAGTAAAGTCTAAAAATTATATGGGAAAAATAGTATGTGAAACACACGTAGTATCACGCATCCCATTATCGAGTAAAGTCCACGTAACGTACGGAACATCTGTCTAAAAAGATGTTCGGAGATGCACACGGGGTAGGAGTAAGAGGAGAGGGTAAGACGAGAGTGTGGTGAGCGTTAACGCTTTACGAGGGGTTTAGAATCACATCTCCATATTACGGGTACGGCTCTCTAATTAGTGTAATAGTCGCAACGAAGAGTAAGTGTAAATTACTCAATTACACGTACACGCACAGGCGTACACACACTCTTTTTACTCATTTACCTTTAGTGGCTCGTATCGCCTTGCATATTTCGATCCACGGGTGTCCGTAGGAACTGCAAACGTCACACACGTTATTAGTCGAGCTCGAGGATGGTTTTTGTTGACTAGCTTGATGCCCGGGTGTACTCGGCGACGAGGAGCCCTCTCTTTTTGATTTGCACGTGGTCGACGAGAAACGACGAGGGAAATCGATCGTGGAGGAAGGCGGCGGGGAGGCCGGCGCGCGGGTCTTGCGCGACGGCAACGTTGCTGAATTGTACGGCAAATTCGACGTGGGTTGACCGGTGGAGGGCGATCGTTCCGACGACGGCGACGACGATTTCGTCGTCGATCGGATCGACCGGCAGGATGGTGAGGACAGGCGCAGACACCGCAGCAGGTTGAGTCAATCGTTGACCAATCCTTGAGAAACGCTCATCAGCTGCTCCTTCAGAACGCGGAAGGACGGTCGCACTTCCGGACTGTGTGCCCAGCACTTACGCATCACCTGAAATTCGAATCGATTTATGATTCTGTACACCGTGAGACGCGCGATCGAGAACGGAAGGAAAAAACGCTAATTTACCTCGTATACTTCCTTGAAACATGCCTTAGGTCGTTCCAGGATGATTCCTCGCTGCACCCGCTCGACGACTTCCGTATTCTTTAGGCGACCGTAAGGCATCTTTCCGCACGTGAATACTTCCCACATAAGTACTCCGTATGCCCACACATCCGACTTCGAGCTAAAGCGCGTGTAGTTTAGCACTTCCGGCGGCGCCCATTTGATGGGAAATTTAGTGCCACCGCTACTGGTATACTGATCATCGAGTACGTACCTGGAAATATTCACAATCGCTTAAAGCTTCAATACTCACTTATGTATCTTCTGTTTTAATTAATCCTTCTAATTTCGTAAAATGTAAGGATAGGTATAAAATAAAGTGGCTTACCTAGCTAAACCAAAATCTGCAACTTTTACTACATTTTCCGATCCCACCAGACAGTTACGTGCTGCAAGATCTCTGTGTATATAGTTATGCCTCTCTAAATATGCCATTCCTTTGCAAACCTGCACGAAGAAATACAATTATCATGAAAAATTCAGAAAACCTCGTTTGTATTATCTTGACAGCCACACATTCTACCGTCTGCAGGACGGAATTTGCATTACCTGTATACACATATCTAACAAGAGGCCAACGTTTGCACCTAATGAGGTTTCGTGACGGCGGAGGTAGTTGAGGAGAGATCCATGTCGCATGTATTCCGTGACAATGTATATTGGCCTATCTTTACTGCAAACGCCGTATAGCTGGACTAGGTTTTGATGTTGCAGTTTTCTGGAATTTAAACGAATAAAACTCGTTATAATAAACGTATTTTAATTAGATCTACCGATATTACTTAGAGAACAAGTTGTACAGTTTTTTTTATTTAATTAAAGAACAATTCCAGTCGAGCGCTTGATTGTTCATCGAATGGCTCGATACGGAAACTAGATTGGAGACTTACGTCATTACTTTAGCTTCTTCTATAAAGTCGTCCTCGGACATGGTTCCCTCTTTCATCATCTTCACGGCGACGTCGATGGAGCCGCGCCACTTTCCTCTCCGCACGACTCCAAATTGACCGGACCCGAGCTCCTCCAGCAAATGTAATTCCGCCGGGTCAATCTCCCATTTGTCTGTGAAAAAGTCATCCGCCGTTATGTGACGTCGTATAGCCGAGAGAGACCGTTCCTATGTACTCCATGTGCGCGTTTTATATATTTCACACATATTAAGGAATAGAAGAAAGTTGCACATATACAAATTTTACGAACCGTGACTGAGGCCGGCGGTCGGGGGCACGGGACGATCGCAGGGGCTGGTCTTCAATCGACTGGCCAGACCGCCGCTGTTGTGTCTATGGTAATTAACCAGATCGGGAATGGAGCCGCAGCAGTGTTTTTCCGATAAATAAAATTCTCCGCGGGTATTCTGTTTGATGTGGTAATGCTTCACGTGGGGATGTGGCCTGTGGCAGAACGGAAAATCATAAATTATCGAAAAGCGAGGCGGCCGCTACGCCGAAGGGCGCGAGACAATTTAGAAGTTAAACCCAGTCGGCGGAAGCCACTTGTAATCGTCTCGATAGTATTAACTTACACTTTCGTGTAAAGAGAAAGCGTGTAAAGCCCTTTCGTCGAGGAGTTACGAACGACAAAACAGCCCTCCTTATCTTCTTGCTTCAGCAGCGACTCTGCGCGTTGTCTTGACATATCACCTACGTACCATCTACAACAGCAAGTGGAACCATTTTTTTTTTATCTTTATCACGTGCGAGTACCTTGCGATTTATGTGAAGTCTCTGCCAGAACTCTGTTCTGGTGGAAAAACGGTTGGCTGATAATTCGAAAAATGGGGAGAGGCAACAAGGCGTTATCGAATCCGCAAGATACTAAATTCAATGATTTGTAGGAAAAGAATATTATATACGGAGGACTTACTCGTATTTCTGTAGGCCCAACAGCTCCTTCTCTTTAACGTAGTTGCTGGGAATATAGCCGATCGATCTGCAATTAAATGCGCGCCGTATGACTTTCTGCAAACCCGTTTTTCACCGCGCGTATTTTGCCGCATAAGTAAACAATCCGGCTATTCACGAATAATCGTCGCTGATTATACAAGAGTACTACTGAGATTACTGTTTGCGCACCGTACAACCGATTATTTTTTCACGATTGAACGCCGGTTGATCGCCACCGCGACGTAAGCGTGAGATAAAAAAAAACTATAGATAAACGTCGCGGGTCGTTCGTCGTAAAGAAGTTTCGGAAGAGTAAAATATCGCGAAGCAATTTTTAAAGCTTGTTTTGGGAGGAATTATGTACCCATTCTCGTCCTTAACTTTCCACCAGTGCTCCTGGGAATCGTCCAAGACCTCGTACTCTGCACCCTGGACTCGTAAAAATAGAGACAATAAATATTCTGTGTTTAATTCAATATATTATACGCAATATTATATATTATAATAATTTGTAACTTTTTCTCCCTTTATAATATTTATAACTGCGCTTCGTCTTTACCTTCTCGAGAGACAAATCGCCGCCTTCGATGGCTCGGAAAGGATACAGTGCCACCACAACTTTCGCCCGCAGCATTATCTTTTCCTGCGAGACAAAATCAATTTACGTGGATTACGTAAAAAAAATCACCAAGAGCGAGGAAGTTTACATTTCAACGGAACGTGGACTTACCTTCGCTTTGGAGGATGGCGTGCCGGGTGTACCACCTGGCATTATCGGGGTCGAGGGCGTTCCTGTAAAAAAGAAAAAAAAAATAAATAAGAGCGAGCGGAAGATTTAGTATTATTTTGACGTGACATTTTGATCTCTTTAGGGGGCATTCTAGGTCTTATTGCACATATTTTCAAGA